GGGACGTGCTGGGGCCACCCTCAGGCCCGGGGGAGGGGCATGCCTGGGGGAGAGGCATGCCTGGGGGGAGGGGCATGCCCTGGAGATGGCACTTCATCCACTGTGGCCGGGGGAAGAGGGCGGGCGACGAGGTGGGAGCTTGTGGGGTTCTCAGGAAACAGGAAGCAACGTTTCCTCCACGCTAAGGAGTGGGGAGGAAGGTGTTGGGGTTTGAGGAACGTGGAGAAGATATGAAACGGTCAGCTAGCAGAGAGGGAAGCAAATGCCAGGTCCCACTTGAGATTAGTAATCACGATGAAGCCCGTGGTCAGAGCTGTCTGTAATAGCCAGCTGTGAACTCCTGGTTTTCTGTATGCCGCCGTCTCCGCTCTGACTGTAACTCCAGGTGGGTCTTCCTCACTGCTTCCCTCTCCACCATTCTTCCAGGGGCAGGCTTGTCCTGTGCCCCTCAGGGGTTAGGATAAAAAGGGTCAGATCCACTAAACAAGACCCAAGCAGCCAAATGTTTTCTCAGTGCCCATCACAGGACAGCAGCCTGCTGTTACAATTTGTGGACGGCACCAGATTTTTACTCTGTTTATCATGCCATGGGAAACGTTAGTAGCCCCAGCCCTGCATCAGCTCTGTGGCCATTGTCACATATGTCACAGTGACTTTTCCCCTCTCAATAGATTACAGAACCTCAGAGAGTGACCCTTTTTTTACTTACAATCTCCTGTAATTTCTCCAGATTTTATCACAAAATGGTTAGAAGACCATTTGCCCTGGTTTCTTTTTGGAAAACAAAGTGTTAGTCACAGAACATTTGGTCTCAAGAGCATTATGTCTCACCTTTCAAATTGCATTATAAGGACAAATGTTAATAGTGGATTTTTTTCTTTCCTATTTCCCGTTCTTCTCTTCCTTCTGTGTTCTTTGTTTTTCTCAATGCCTTGCTCATGCTGGCCCCAGATCTCAGGGTCTGATGAGGCCCTGCTCCAGCATCTGTTCTCCTGAGATGTCACATCTGAGAAGCAGCCCCGCCTTCCAGCGTCCTGCCCCCACTCTCGCTCGACCGTTGCCCCTTTCTTAAGTTTCAGTTGAACAGACATTTATTAGCACCTGTTACGCGGTACTAGAGGTACAAAGACAACTAAGGCGGACTCCCTGCCTGATTCTCCCCTTTCCACCCCACCTGGTATGCCACATGTATCTCCGTGCTGTTGGCTGCACTGGAAGCCCACGGAGAACTTGGCCCTCCTGCCTGCCCTGTGCTCCAGCCACAGTGAGCCGCGGACTTCTCCAGACAGGCTCCCTCTCCCGACTCCTTCTGTCACCTCCTCAGCGTCTCCTCTTGTCTCCCCATGGCTACATCAGCTAGTGAGAAGTGAGCACCACCCCTTCTGAACTCTCTTGCCCTTTATGACATGAGAGGTGCCTGGGTGTCGGTGAAGAGCGTGGACTCCAGAGCCAGGATGCCTTGTTCCAATCCCAACTCTGCTAATTACTAGCTGTGTGACCTTCACAAGTTACTGAACCGCTCTGACCTCGGTTGCTTCATGTGTAAAATAGAAATTATAATAGGACCTACCCCATAGAATTTTGAGTATTAAGTGGGTAAATTACATGTGAAGCACTTAGAACAATGAGTAGCGTTGATGCATGGAAAGTGTTACCTAACTTTAGCCTTCGTTTTAGGACATGAGCATATAAGCATTGTATACATAAACCTGTGGGGATTACCTATTATAATACAGCTTACTGAGATCAGGGTCTATATTTTGTTTATGTCCATAGCCCAGACACTCACAGTTTAATTTCATAATGTATATTGGGCATATTGCCCATAGTACATGCCCAGTATATATTATGAAGTTAATCTGTAATATGTATGGTAAAAATAAGATTGTGGTCTTTATCTTTTGTCCATACCTTTTCAGTAACCTTTGAACAGAGTGTAAAATAATTTTGTTATTCTTTCTTCTCTATCCTCAGGAAGTATCTAGTTGCCTATTAAATCAATAGGCAGAATGTCAGTGGTATTTTGTGATTTTGAAACTTCTTAATATTCTAATCAGTGAAATAATGAATAAATAGATATATATTCCTTTAAATTTCTGAACCAGTAAATAAACTTTAGCTATCCAGTTTTTTCCTCCTTTCTCCCTGAAGGAAATTGACTGGTCCAAACCTGTACCCTACACAGTCTCTCATCTAATTGAATCTAATGCTGAGATATATTGAGATCTGTAATAAAATTATTCCTCTTACATCATAAAGGAAATAAAGCTTGATAAATGTATATGTGTGTGTCCTATGAGAATATATTTTTGGTATTATTTGCCAGACAGTTAAGCTTTTCAAAATTGTAGTAATTTTGTTATTATGGTACTTAATTTGGAGATACGTCACCAGCAAGCATTCCTTACTTTCGATGATGATGTTTTTAATGCCTATTATATCTCTAGTGCTGTTCTTTAAATATCAGAGAAAAACAAGAGGCCGAGCCCGTCCTCAGGCTGCCCGCGTCCTCGCCTGTCGCATCCTGAGCTTGGCGGGCTGCCTCTGGCACCGCACTCCCACCTCCCTCCCGCACCTGTGTCATCTTCTGTGCTCTGGGTCCCGGGCTTTGGGTTTCCGCAGCCCCGTCAGTCCACGTTACCTATGCAGTGTCTCGGTGGGTTACGGCCCCCTCCCACTGACGTGGCTCTCCCTGGACTCTGCACTGGCCACGACTGTGGTCAGGCCACCTGGCGTCTGGCTTCCTCTGTCCCCAGGCCAGCCACCCCCGAGGAACCCATGCAACAGGCATCCTCTGCTTAAAACTCCCCGGTGGCTAACTTAGCGGCCCCCACCTCTGGACCACAAGGACTCCGTTTCAGCTGATAGTGGGATATTTGTCTTTTACACAATTGTTGTATTTGAGGAAACCTGTTGATACTGGAGAAACAGTTGTTCAGATTCAGTGACAGTTTTAAATAACTGTGTACTTATTCATCACCATACCATTTACATTCCTTTGGAAAATAGTGGAGATGTGTCCTGGATATTCTACATCGAGTGCGTCTATGATACACACATGCACATGTGCTGTGCTGGCCCTTGACGTAATTCAGGGGCCCCAGAGGCCCATAGCTAGGGTGCCCGGGGTGCCGGGGCACCCAGCTCACTCCTGTTCTCCGTCTCCTCAGACGTGCTCTGGTGGAGACCCACGGTATGTGGTCATTCCAGCGGCGCCCTGCAGGGTGGGGACTAGTAGCGGGCCTTCTCCGGCCTTCCTCCAGGTGGCGCGTCTCCCTCCCTGCCTGCCTCGCACCTACCTCCCCTGCAGGAACTGACCACCCCCCCAGGTCTCACCGTCCACCTCTAGACCAACACCATCCAGCACAGTTCTTTGTGCTCCCTGTTTCTGGGTCAGTCTCCCCTGTTGTATGGTCCCCTCTGGGGGGTCAGAAGTGAGCTTAATTCAACTATGAACCCCCAGCCTATGCTGCAGTGCTTGACATTTGTGTGTGTGTGTGTGTGTGTGTGTGTGTGTGTGTGTGTGTGTGTGTGTGTGTGTGTGTGTGTGTGTGTGTGTGTGTGTGTGTTTGTGGCGCGGGAGGGGGGTGGTAGGGTGGGAGGAGGGTGTAAATGAGTGCATAACGGATTAAATAAGTAAATAAAGTACACGTAACATGCTGAGAACAGTGCTGGGCATGTACTAAGTGTTCCGCTGATGCTAGCTAGCACATGCACCACATGCATTTTAGGTGTTGGAGAAGCAGAAATGAACAAGACGAAGTCCCTGCTTTCAGGAAGCTTACATTCTCTTGGGAGGAGATAGACATCAATATTTATTTCAGGGAGTAATACGAGCTGTGAAGAAAAGTAAAGCGGCTAAAGGATAGAGAGCAGTGTGGTTGGGGAGGCCCAGCCCCTGTGCCAGAATGCAGAGTGTAGGAGGGCAGCTTTGGAGCTAAGACACAAGAGCTTACTAACCGCACAGGACTGAAAATCGGGGCCGGCGAGGGCTGGGGGTGAGCGCACAGGGTCGCCAGGGAGGCCGCTCTCATCCGGCTGTCTGAGCAGAAACCTGAAGGAAGAGAAAAGCCGGACATCTGCCAGGAGAGCATTGCAGGCCGGCGTGGGGGGAGACAGCCAGGAGGTCAGTGTGGCCGGAGGGAGGTGGATGAGCGGGTGTGGCAGGAAGTGAGGCCACGGGCAGGGGTGGGGGGGGTTCTGGACTTTATTTTCTTTTCAGTGAGAGTGGGGGCCTGGCGGGTGGAAACGGAATGATTTGAGTCTGTACATTATCTGAGTTCCCTGTAACTTGATATTTGGTGATTCTGGATTTCAGCTGTAATGTCCAGAGTGTTTAATTAGGCAGACAGCATCGCTGTTAATAGTAAAGCCGCCACACCCGCCCAGACGGTACGCGATGAGCACGGTGATAGAACTATCATATTTTGAACTTCAGGATGCTGCGTTACTAAAAGTGAGCACCCTTACTAGGTCAGCAACTTTAGGGTTTTTTAACTCAACTTCGGGAAATGAAGCATGTTTCTAAAAGCTCTTTTATTGTGAGTTCTGAAGACTGCTTGTCAACAGGGAGAAAATGGCAGCTTCTCACATACCTCTCAAGGGCCTCAAACGGTGCCCCGAAGCCCCTCCACGCAGCACCCCCATGTTCTCCTGGTGGAAGTCTGCTTCTGTGTCGTGCTGTGTGAGAGCCCGCGGTGGTTGCCCTGGTGTCAAAGCCGCGGCCCGCATTCTCAGCGCGGCCTGTGTGTGCGGCCGACACCGCTCCACGCCCACACCTCCCCCTCGCGGGACGGGCTGCCCAGTGTCTGCAGGAAGCCTTTTCTCCCCACAGCCTTCCTGACTGTGGCTCCCAGTCTCAGCTTAAATGTCACTTCACAGGGTAGCTTTTTCTTCCCTTCACACCCCATTCACACTACACTGTGTGTCATTTGCCGCTGCCCTTTAATTTTGTGCCTTTCTCTCTGCCTCCTCCCCCCACCCCCACCCCGGTCCTGCAGCCATATCATGTCTGAGTACGGGAGGATGACAGACACGGAACGCGACCAGATAGACCAGGATGCTCAGACGTTCATGAGGACCTGCTCAGAAGCGATTCAGCAGCTAAGGACCCAAGGTGAGGTGACCTGAGAGAAGCAGACGACAGCCAGGAGCTTTGAGTGTGTCAGACTCTTCAGGCACACAAGTTCAAGTCCCCTCTGTTCTTATTTAGATTCTGCTTTGAAAACTTGAAAACCCTTCTCTTCCTGATCAGTGCTTTAGCCTAAGCTTAAAAGCAGTAAAGGGGCCATGAATCAAGTTAAACAGTGGTAGCAAGGAGGCGGAAAGGACCTCTAAGCAGGACTAAACACTTACTGAAGGACCAGGGTCAGAGAACACAAACTGCGTGTAAGTGTGTGTGTGTGTGTGTGTGTGTGTGTGCGCCTGTGTGTTCCACGTGGTGTTTGATGACATGTAGAGAAGGAGGATGAAAGGGTAATCTAAGCTCTCTACCTGTGTATTCAAGTAAGCGTCAGTATCAGACTCGCAGGGCTGCTTGGGCGCCCACCCCAGATCTGCCATATGGCCTTGGGCAAGCCACTCAATTGCCCTGGGCCTCCGTTTCTTCATCTGTAAAATGGGGACAATTAAACAGGGTATGTCTCTCAGGGTTGTTATGAAAATTAAATTAAGCTCTTGTAGCTCTGCTTAGAAGCGTAGCTGGCACCAGTGTGTTTATTTCATCTCACTTTCATTGATGTTTAATTCTAATTAAGGCCCTGAGATGGCTTCCCACGTCACGGAGCTTCCTTGATTCTTTTTTAATTTGCTTAGGCAGCTACAGAGTACATTAAACAGCGTAGCATTCTAAGCGGCCAGCCACTGCGGTGCTGTGCTCCTGACACAGACTTTATTTGGGAAGCTTCCGTCGGCACGTGGATACCTCATGGGGAGTCTGATGAGTGCACAGTTTCATGCATCCGCGGAGCCCCGTGCATGACTCCTCAGTGAAGCAGCCCGACGGTGAAAACACGAATCACGGCCCCGGCCCTGAAGGGCCTGTGCATTTGTTGAGACAGCCTGGAAAATACACGCGAACATTAGCAAAGCCGGCGGTTAAGTGCCAAGCCCTGTGCCCGTGGGCTGCTTGTTAGCTCTGAACCTCAGTTTCCTCATGTGTAAAATGAGCATAATCATAATTGCCTTAGGAGTGTTCGGATTATTAGCAATAACATATGTAACGTACTAGCAGGTGCCTGCACATAGTAGGCACTCAACCTCTCAATCAATGGCAGCTGTCTACCAGAGTAAATGGCCCAGACTTTTAGAAGATGTGATAGTTTGCAGAAGAAAGGCATCCTTGTAGCTAGGAGTCAAGGAAGGTTCCCTAGCGAATGAAGGCTCGCCTCGGTGTCCAAGGGCCCTGAAATTTGGGTGGCTGAGGGAACAGGAGGGAGCGTTCCCCTGGCTCAGGCACAGGGCGTGTGTGGCTTGGGTGATTTACACGTTACGCGAAGGTCAGCTTGAGCACTGGATGCTGTTACTGCAGACGGGTCAGCGCCCCAGAAGCGGGCCGCTCTGCGAACGCTCGCTCTGTGCTGTCAGTCACGCTGTAAACTGTGTGACGGAAGCCTGTCTGCAGCCTGAATCTCTCAGGCTTGGGGAGCCTGATATATCATAGTCTTTAAAAATAGAGCGTCACGTGCCACAAGCCTGGTTTTAGGGCCGCATGTCACAAAGCACTTTCAGTAAAGCACGTGCCGTGAGGAAGCCGACGGCCTGTCCCTGAGCGTGAGTGACGCAGAGGCCTGACCGTTGTCCTTTCCTTTGCAGCACGCAAGGACGCACAGTCCCAGCAAGTGAAGGAGCACAGAGCCGCCGTTCTGGACTTCATCGAAGATTACCTAAAAAGTATTGCATGTCAGCCTAGAGGTTGGATGCGGCACTTCCCAGTGTGGCAGTGCCTGCTGAAGACCGCAGTGTCTCGTTATGTTGAGTGATGCCTTTGCCTGAGAAGCGGTTTTAAGTGGTCTGTGTTCTGGTGTTTTCCCTGCAACAGGAGTGTGCAAGCTTTACTCAGAGCAGAGAGCCATCCGAGTTAAACGCGTGGTGGATAAGAAAAGATTGTAAGTACTGCCTCTGGTGGGCTTCCTTAATTAATATTAGTAATATAATAATAATAGTAGTAATAACAACAACAACAGCAACAGTAGTAATGATGAGTAGCTCTGAGGTTTTGCAGTGTACCGTGCTGGAATTTCTTCACGAAATGCTGAAATAGTGTTTAAACAGCCTCACCGTGTGCTTGCAACTTGATTAGGTCACAGCAGCCCCGTAAAGCAAGTCTGGCGTCACACTCATCTTACAGGTGGGAGGCGGTGGCTCAGGACGCTAGGTGGCTCGCCCAAGTCCTAGTTCCAGGCGGAAGCGCGGCTGAGGTCCGAGGCCAGGCTCTCGGTCCGCAGTTCAGGCCCTCACCCGTTTCGTCGCCTCCACCCTATGAGGCTGGCACAGTGGTAGCCGTTGTACCTGGGTCCCTCTCTGCCCCACGCCCCTCCCTGCTATCCTCGAAAGTGTTTTCCTGAGGGAAGAGCTGGAGCATGGCCAGCGGTGCTCCCTACGAGGCCTTCCTCAGGGCACCTGCGGTGCACACCCCCCTCCTGACAGCCCTCGCCGATGCCAGGTGCTCTGAGCATGCGCCCGCCTGCAGCACCCAGCCCCTACTTACTGCAGGGACTGTTATGAGCCCCCCTGGCAGGTGAGGACTTGCCAAGGCCACACGGCCAGGATGCAGCAGAGCCAGACGTCAGTAGTTCCCCCATCTGCCCTCCGCACTGGGCTACATGCCAGCCTCGAGAGCACAGGGACTGGACCCTCCAGGCTGCTGTCCTCGCAGCCGCCCAGCCAGCCTGAGATTGGATCCTGTATGAACACGGAGTGTTGGGTCCAGGCTCCTAGTCACTTATAACTTGGGACCGATTGTGGAGTGTTCTCTTAGAAGATAACAGTGCATGCTGTCGGGGACAAATTTCCTGAATTCTTACTGTGTCAGGGTCCCCACACCACCCTCAGGTTGGGTCATTTGCTGGGAGGATTGTCAGGACTCAGCACACAGCCGTCCCATGGCTGTAACTTACCAGGTAAAAGGATGCAAAGCCCGCCGCAGAGGGGAAAGGCACCCAAGCGACAGCGGGGAGACCAGGCGCACACTTCCAGAGTCCTCTCCGGAGTCACACAGGATGGGACCTGTGCCTCCTCATGTGAACAGTCCACCAGAAGCTCTTTAGAGACTCGCTGCCCAGGCATTTTGCTGGGGGCTGGTCCCGGAAGCAGCTGTTGCCCTGCACATACCCAAACCACAGGCTCCCAGGAGGCAGGCAAGTGGTTAGCGTCAGCCACACCATTTGCACAGCAGCCCAGCCACAGTGAGCCTCTCCTGTCAGTCGGGGTGCTGGGAACCACCTCCAAGTTCCCACACACCAGCCCAGCGCTGAGCTTGCAAACGAGCCTTTCTAAGGAGGGCGGTCTCAGGCCTGCTTTGGTAACTCTTTGCTGCGCACTTGTGAAACAGATTTGAAATTGCAAATGCCCACAAATAAAGCATTTGTGGAAGATGGTAAGTAGATGAGTCGAGTTATCCACAAAACTATGACACAAGGCCTGAGAGCATAGGCAGAGAGAAGCAAGAGACGGGATCTCTGCCCTCATGTAGGGGGTTTAGAGTCAGGCGGCTTGCCATATAAACATGAAAAGTGAGCCAACTTAATGAAGACAGGTCATGATTGGTGAGACCAGTAACAAGTTCAGAGGGGAATGGTATGACTGTGTAGAATAGCCTAGTCCCTAGGAGCCCGGACTCTGTAGCCAGACAGTCCATGTTCAAGTCCCGGCTCTGCCACTTACAACTGTGTGACTTTGGGACGATTGCTTAACTTGTCTGTGCCTCAGTTTCCTCGCTATGTAAAATGGAAAAATTCACAATACCTACCTTGTTGGGTTGCTGTGAGAACAAAATGAGTTGAAACAGGTAAAACACTTGCAGTGAGCGGTTACTATATGTTAACGTGTACTATTATCTGCTATTAAACATTTACCATGCATCAGGCAGTATGTTAATTTATTTAATCCTCACAACCACTCTGTTAATAAATATTAGTATCCAGAGGAAATTGAGACTCAGAGAACTTGGGTTACTAGCCCAGCATCACACAGCTGAACTAAGATTTGAACCTCAGGGTCATCGGGGCAGATTTTTCAAACAAGGGGCTTCGTGTTGGATGTTGAAAGAACAGCCTGTGGGGAAGCGATTAGAGAGGAGAGGCAGGCAGAGCGTCAGTCCTGGAGGAGGACGGAGGCCCCTGATGATGTGTGATTCCCCGGCGAGGTGGTGTGGGCACGGGGTGTCCCCCACCAGAGGGAGAGACGCCAATCTCCGCCTCCTTATCCCAGGGGAACCGTGACACTCGAGACTTCCTAACAAGCACCCCGAGTAGAGTAAGAAGAGGCTTTTGCTGCTGCCTCCTCAGCCCCGGGTCCTTGGCAGAGGTTTTGACAAATTAAGATCAGTCAGATGGGAATTGTTCTCATTTAGACAGTGAAGCAGCCCGGCCTCCTGCCACGTGGCTGCCCTGTGCCAGTTACCTTGAGCAAAAGACCTTGAGGGAAATAAGTAAGTGACCCTTCACAATGCAGTCCACCCTTCCTGCTGGTTCCTTCCTCAGCTTGCTGCGGAACGTGTCTTCCAAAACACCTATAATTTTATCACTCCCTTCGCTTCCATGTCCTGCAAAGGCTAAACTTCACAGCACAACATGCGAGGCCCCTGACGACTGGACCACAGCCTTTGTTTTTTTGTTTGTTTGGTTTTGGTTTTTGTTTTTTAAAAATTTTATTGGTGAATTGGGGGAGGGTAACAGCGTTGGGGAACCGGGGAAGAGGAACAGACAAGTTGCTGTCCTTTTGTTCTTCAGTCTAGTTGTGGAGGACGGCGCTTCACTGGCCCATGTTGGTATTATCGTTGTGCTTTTTCCGTGAGGCAGTCGCTCGCCAGCCTTTGGACGGCCGCTCACGGGGGCTCACGCTGGCTGCCGGCCATTCACAGTAGCTTACGGCACCCCACTGCAGCCTACACTGTTGCCGGCGACTCATGGCAGCCCAGCTGCAGGTCGAGCAGTTGTTTACCATCTTAGCTGTAGAGTGCAGCGTCACTGGCCCTCATGTGGGATCTGAACCGGGGCCCTGCTGCTCAGACCTGGCGTCTCAAGCCAACTCCTAACCAGCACGCCACTCGGCCGGCCGCGCAGCCTTTGTTTTATAGCTGGCCCCTTGGAGATATGCTCTGGCCACACTCAACTTCTGTGTGTTCCAAAGAGGCGTTGTTCTTGAAGGCTCTTATGCCGTAATTCTTGCCGACCTGTCTGTCCTAAATGCCCTTCACATCCCTCTGCCTGCCCCCCATTCATCTGGCAAACTGAACTCTTGCCCAGCCTCCCGGCCCCAGTAAGGTGTGGCTGCTCTGCAAGGATCCCCGGCTCCCGTGGGCCGTGCGAGTGCATCTCTTCTCGGTGGCTTCCCTACACATCGTCACGGTCAGGGGTAACACTTAGTGCTCAGGAGCTGCTGTTAGACCAGCTCGGCCCGCTGTGTAGCCCAGGGCCCGCCTAGGCCCGGAAAGCCACTCCTTAGGGCTGTTCAATGAATGAATGACACTTTTTCTGAAGGTAATTTGACTGTAAGTCGAGTTTTTTTATTGTCAAGTTGGATTGGTTCTTTATTTTTGTTATTATCTTGGCTATTTTGGTTATTGTTTTGATTTGGTTAGTGATGGTTGTTGCTAAAAACCTTTCTAATAAAATAGATTTGAGAAACCCAAGTGCTCATGTTTGATGGCATTCTTGCTACTGTCGTGTCTGTTTTGTTCTTGGTTTCCCATCATGACTGTTTCCTTAGAAGGATAGTGCCGTTGTTAAATAAGACATCTCACCCATCCCCTGGCACCGCACCGTCTGAGCTGACAGTGGCACCTGCTGCCAGTTGCCTTAAGCTGGACGTGAGGGATGGTGGTAACTATTTTGAGGGTCTCGTCTCTGTTCTTTCTCCTGCTACAAGATTGCAAGTCTTTCAAAGGCAGGGACCCCTGTGTCTTGTATTTCTTTGATCCCAGTGCCTTGATCAGCGCCTGCCACAGGCTAGGTGCTGAATTAACAGTGCTCTAGTGAAGGAAGGAATGGGGTGTAGTCGGTCCTTCCTGGCTCCTTAGGTCGACATAGTGAGAGCTTATCAGTTGGAAAGCCTGTGGGACACCACTGGACACCGCATTGGCACAGGTGGCCTTGTCATCCCAAAGGGTGTAAAACACACCCTTTACCTTCCCGACCGCCATAAAATACTATGTGGTTATGATTTCAGTTGAAATAGCCATCAGATACCCTCCTGAGTACATTAATTCAAAACCAACTGACTAAATCAGAAACATTTCCCCTTTCCGGTGAGGCATCAGCTTGTGAGTCACCGGCTTGCTTTCTCTTGGGGCAGAGCTTTAAGGTGGCACTCCGGAAATTGGAATGAACCTGAGATTCTTTCCTACTAGTTCAGAGGATTTTTGCGGAGGCATAATAAACTGTACAGATGTCCACACTTAAAATATTAGGCCTTTCTCTCCAGGCGGCTGTTTCTCTTATCGAGTGGTGGGTCATCTGATCCTGTGTCTACCCAGGGCCAGCTATGCTTTAAAGGCTGCTGGTTTTCAGCCCATCATTCGAACATCCCACTTTCACTGTTACGGTGATGTCCTTACGAGTGGAGACTTTGGACTACTTTCTCTGTCTCGGGAGATTTGAAGAGGATAAGACACACTAGTCTGAAAGATAATGGTTTCTTCTAACATTGAGATGGTTATGAAACAACAGACAGGAAGACTAGCCGACTTGACAGCACCTGCTGAATTTGTCAGTGTAGCTTGAAGTGAATTACCAGAATCTTAGTGCTTATTACTGTCAGTTTTAAAGGATAATGTGAGAATTTCCTAAGATATTCTGAAGAAAGCCTCGTGACCCACATAAGTGCTACTCTGAAAACTGTCCCCATGGTCCAGCAAGGTCAGAAGCCCTTGGTGTAAAGAGTTCTC